TTTGTGGGCTCAAGATCATGTTCAGTGGTCGAATGAACAATGGACCAATGTTCTCTTCACGGATGAGTCACGCTTTGGAATTCATCCGGATTCGAGAAGGCTTAGGGTATGGAGAGAACCGGGAGATTTTATTCGGTTGGATCATGTTCAGGAAGTGCACCCTTATCAAGGTGGAACAGTTATGGTCTGGGGAGGACTCCAGTTAGGCCGAAAAACCGATCTCGTTTTTCTTGAAAGGTTTCTAACCAGGAATCCCATATCGTGATTAAATTCTTGAGCCTGTCGTGTTACCATATGCCAATGATTTTGGGAGAAACTTCATTCTCATGCATGACAATGCACGGCCTCATACAGCCAGAGCGGGAAGTGAGTTTATCAATGCTCATCAATTAAACATCTTACCCTGGCCGGCACAATCTGCTGACCTCAACCTCATCGAGCACGTATGGGACGCGGTCCAAAGAAGAATTTTGAGAATGGGTATGCCTCGTGAAACTCGTAGGGATCTGGTTCGGGCCGTGAATGCAGCGTGGCAGGCTGTACCTCAAGAAGAGATCGACAACCTGATCAGGAGCATAGAGAGACGATGTAGGGCTATAATGAACAGTAGAGGAGGCTATACCCTTTATTAAGTAACAATGGTTTTATCTTTTTTTTAATTCACAGTTTAGAATAAAAAAAATGTGTGTATATATTTTTTTGAGTTCAATAAAAATCAAGGTAAATTTGAAAAATTCGGTAAATTTCGCATTTTTATTTCCAATACGTCCTGTAAACTATTTGTTTATTTTAATTTTGTTATATCAGAAATGCAAATAATAAAATTACTGACGATGGCTGGATAAAATTGTAATATCCCTAGACTTTTCCGGTGTGTGTATATTAGGTATTTGCTTTATAGATGGTTTGCTCTTACTTTGTTAAAAATATGGTAATCGTAAATCATACAGGATGTTTAATATTCTACGCCAAAGTTTCTAAAATATAAATATTTTTCTTTGTTTTTTTTTTTAATCGAACACCCTGTATATTATTTTTTATTAGATAGAGAGTTAAAAAGTGAACATTTTTTGTATTTAAAGTATTTCAAAGTTTTTAATAGTTTTGCAGTATTATTTTAAAAATTTTATACAATTTTTAATTTTGCACTTAAACAAAATTCCAAAGTTTTTTATTCTAGGAGCTACAGATGCCCGACGCACTTTTGCAGGACCCTGTATATTAAACTTCTTTTCATATCTTTCCCAACAACGGCGATATTCGACTTCCTCGCACTAACGGGACACCCTCTATATAAATTTTAACATTTGCTCATCTCTTTGCATTAAGGATATAATACAAGACTGAATAATTTATTCATAAAGTGAGTTTCTTTATGTTGAACATTTTTAAAAATGAAAAATTTCAGTTATTTTCAAACATTTTCAAGATAAATGAATAGTTTTACTGCGCTTCGTGTATGTACCGCAGCAGAGCTATTTATCATCTTTTGTTGTGGTAATAATTTAAAAGTAGCATGTATATAAGCACTTTTAAAAATAGTGAATTGTTTTGCAAGAAAAATATTTTGTTTTATAGATCTCGTCTACTTTGTATACCGGGTGAGTCTCAAAAGTGGCTCATTCTTATAACTTTTTTATTTCTTCAGATAAAAAAAAACGAGATTTGGAATGTTAGTATATGACATAAATTAGGATTGATTGACGTATTCAAGTCTTTTCGACCACTTCCTGTTTCACCGGAAATAACTTTTGATTTTTAAATGGCACCCTCGGTAATTTTTTTACATTATTCGATAGAAAATGACACTCTAAATATTCGGCATTTTCGCTTAAAACAAAATTGAATTTTAAATTTTAATCTAGAGTGCCATGGCTGTGTTAAAAACACTAATTTTTAATCAAGGAGCCTTGGAAAAATTTATTTAACCTTCTAATGTTTTTAGTGTCTTGTCCTGGACGGTTAAAAGATACGCAAATCGTATTTTAAATCTCAATTTTTTCAAATGGAACGAGGGTGGCTCATTAGCATATTTGAAAAAAAACATTTTTTTACGAATAATTTGATACCACACACTTGGTATTTCGAGTCAAAGTGTTGTCATGATGTTAAAGTCGCCTGTTGCAATTTTAAATAAACCATATTCGAAAATGTCAAAAGTTGTCATATGATATGTCATTTTATTCAGAGTACCATTTTATGCCGAACTTTGAATAAGAAGACTAAGGAAGGAGCATAATGCTATCCATGTATTCATGCATGGTGGGCGGAAAAAGCACTCTAGGGTGGGGATCCTTGACAGTTCTATTTGACGATTCATTTGACACATTTGAATTTGATTTGAAATTTTGTGGATTTGTCAGTCTTTACGGAGCTTATTTTATGTTATTTATTATTTATTCTACTACTGATAGTTGTATAGAGGTAGTAAATCTAGATGGAAATTGTGGCAGAACTTAAATTAACAGTGACACTATCGCGATTTATCGAAAAAGACTCTAAAATAGTTGGTTGTGTAGCGTGCGGTAGATCTCGGCAAAAATTGAGTGAAATAATGGAACAACTTTTCGTTAGTAAGTGACTATATAATATACATACGTGTAGTAAACCGATCATTTATGAAATTCACTTAAATTAACTAAATCATATATTTTTCTCGCATTTTAGCTTTTATTTATTACTTGTCAAAGATTAGATGTCAAAGAATTTAGATACGTTAATTTGACTTATCTGCTTCAGTAGCGTATCGGATGTTTGTGTTAATAAATACTTATTATAACTTATCTATTTTTATTAGAATTATATATTTTTATAACAATTGTAATAACTACCAACATTTATTCACAACCTAAAATAAAAAAACAAATTATTGAGTCTACCCCATGTCTACCCTGCATCATAGTTTTTACATTTTTTAAATAAAATTAGAACGACACTGATAAACCGGAATTTAAGTCGGCCATATTTGAGGCCCATCGCAGTGTACCTAAGATTTTTGATATGCTCCTTCCTTAGTCTTCTTATTCAAAGATGCCGAATACCGAGTAAGTAAGTAACAAAATACCGAGGATTCCATTTAAAAATCAAAAGTCATTTCCGGTGAAACAGGAAGTGACCGAAAATAATTGAATACGTCAATCAATCCTAATTTATATTATAATGGTATTAATTTCATAAAACGGTATGGAAATTTTTAGAAGTATACACGGGATTAACCATTTTAGGACACAAGCAACAATTTTTATGAAATTTAAAGAAGGTATCCATTTTTCTCAAAGAGACCTGGTTCAAATTAAAAAAGTAGAAAAAAGACTCAAAGTACATTGTATAAACGTTGAGACCGAGACTTTGAGTCTTTTTTCTACTTTTTTAATTTTTATGAAGAAAATTATGTCTCTAAATGTCAATAATAAAAAAAAATCCTCTTGGAAAGACAATAATTCGGGGACATACTGTATAAACAAAAAATATGTTGTATACTGTTTTATACTCTAAAACTCTCTTACTTTAAAAAAATAATAATCAGTGTAATAAATTGTAAACTCACTACAAACCCAGCCTTCTTTTCAACTCCCCCTAATGCATATATATAAATAACACATTTTCTATTATTGTATACATGGTACATTCACACCCGATGATATACGTTGTAAACAGTATATCTCTACAAATTTATTTGCTCAAATCCGGAAGCATACCTACGTATGTAAATTGTAAAAGTAACACGCGCCTGTTAAAATATTATCCGAATTTACATTTAAATAACTTAATCTCATTTATACCTGTATTTTATTTATTGCTCTTTTATTTATGTTCCGTTATTTTTCATATGAATTTAATGTGTTTTTTTTTCCTTTTATTGGTTTAAATTAATATCATAAACATTTATAATAGTGTTACAAATAGAATTAAAAAAAAAACTTTTTTAAATTCTATTTCGATTTTATCGTCTGTTTATGCTATTTGTAGTTATTATCGGCTTCTTTATTTATACTGGGTGTTAATCAAAAGTGGCTCACCCCTTTAATTTTTTTATTTTTTTAAAATAAAAAGACGAAATTTGGTATTTTGTATATGACATAAATCGGCATTGATTGATGTGATCAATTAGTTTCTGTCACTTCTTATTTAATCGGAAATTACTAAAACTTTTGATTATTTTTAATTTATAAAATGGTACCCTCAGTGTTTTTTTTTACTTTATTTGATGAAAAATGATATTCAGAAAAGAATGACATATCAAATGTCAACTTTTGACATTTTCAAATAGAAAAATTGCATTTTAAATTTCAATCTAGAGTGTCATGGTCATAAACGACAATTTGACTAATACGAAGCATGTGGCACCAAATTATTGTGAAAAAAATGTTTTATTTCCAAATATATAGGGAAATTAAAACAACTTTGGTTGCACGTAATCAATGACACCATGCGTCGTCTTATGGAGTTTGCTGGTGGTCGTATTATGATGTGCAACCAAAGTTATTTTAATTTACCTATACTAATGAGCCACCCGCGTTTCATTTGAAAAAAATGAGATATGATTAAAAATACGATTTTGGCATCTTTTAAGAACCCAGGAAGACACGAAAAACATTAGACGATCAAATCTATTTTTCTAAAGCTCCTTGATTAAAAATTAATAGTTTTAACTTAATTTGCAATTTAAACTGCAATTTTTTTTAATTGAAGATGTAAAAAGTTGACATATGATATGTCGTTCTATTCAAAAAATGCCAATTTCTATCAAATAAAAGTAAAATAATAAATATAATTAAAAATTTCCGGTGAAACAGGAAGTGACTGAAAGTAATTGAATACCGTCAATCAATCCCGATTTATGTCGTATCTTAACACACAAAATTTCCTTTTTTATCTGGAAAAATAAAAAAGTTATAGAGGTGAGCCACTTTCGAGAAACACCCGGTATATAATTATGACATACTGTAAAAATATCAGCAGGCTAGTTTAACATTATTTAAAAAAAATATTTGTTTCAGATAAATCACTGTCCATCAATGCACAAAGAAATGTACTATAGAGGTAAGAGAGCTTTTAGATAACCTTAAATACACTAAGTAACATTGAAAATACAACATTTATGTAATGTTGACTACCACTAAGTAGTTGCAAAAATTCAACAGCAAAAATATGACGTTAATCAAAATTAATAATCTACTATCTATCAAAGAATGAAATCGAAAATATATTAGCATAGAAACGCGTTTTGATATTTAGGACTTATTTAGGAAAAAATTCAATTATTATATTTTCATGTTTTTTTCTAATTTTCTCTAAAACTGTATAGAAATTTGGAACAGTGTAAACGAGATTAACTGTTTTAGGACAAACAAATTTTTTTATGAAGAATGCAAAAATTTTTCAAAATGTCAATAATAAAAAAAAGTTGTAAAGGCAATCCGGGGACATACTGTATACTGCATACTGTTAACATAAAAGTATTTTTGTTCAACATTTTTTTTTGAACAAAAAAATCTATGGCCAAAAATAAAATTGTAAAAATAGTCCAAGGAAATAGGCCTTGAAAGTTTTGATAAAAACTTGAATTTTTGATATAAGTGACTGAAAGATCTAAAAACTTATTTATGAACATTTTTTTTAAATTCACCCCCGACAAGGGGTGAAATAAATAAATAAAATTATTTTTTCGAAATTTTGGAGAAACGGTAAGGACTAGAAAAAAAGTTGTAGAGCGTTTAATTTTACATAAAAATGATCTCTAAACTTTTTTTGCTCAAATCAAAATTAACCGGGTGGATGGAGACAACTTTTATTGAATTTTTAAAGTCCTTACCGTTTCTCTGAAATTTGAAAAAAAACACTTTGTTTATATTTTTCACCCCTTCTCAGGATGAATTTAAAAAAATCTTAATTAAAATTTATAATTTTCCAAGCAAATTGAATAAAAATGTTAAATATATGAATTTTTCAGCTTCACTTATAATTTTTTTTAATTTCTACTATCCCCTAGCTTCTAGCCACCCTATCTCGGTTATTTTTGATCTGAGCCAAAAGAGTATAGAGATCACATTTCTATGTAAAATTTGAGGTTCCACAACTTTTATTTGAACTTTTTTCTAGTTCTTCTCCGAAAGTTCGAAAAAATTACTTTATTTATTTTTATTATTATTCACCCCTTCTAGGGGGTGAATTTAAAAAAAAACTTTCAAAAGGTTTTTTACCAAAACTTCGTAGGTATTTAAAGGCCTATTTTCTTGGACTAAAAAATATCAAAACCAATCTTCTCGAAAATCCAGCAATGTAATTTAGATTCCTAACCTATACTCACCTAACTTTCTCCAATATCCTTAAACTCTTAAACCAATGATACGTAAAAGGGATCAAAGCCTTTTTTTGGTCAAATAATTTCGCTTTTAGTCGATTCCAACGCAATTAAGTATTTGTGTTAAAGGAAACAAACAAAATTAAAAAAGTTCTGAGAAATTCATCAAACAAACATTTGTTTTTCTAAATGAAACACACATAAACAGCCTTAAAATTAAATAATAATTATGTTTTTCTTAATGTCTATTGAAAACAGCAAAGCTTGATTTTCATGCATCGGTTATCCATGGTACAAAGAATACAAGGTATGATATTGCGCAGGTTGGTCGCTACGTCACAGGTGATAACTGGCGCTATTGGTCAGCACTCTCCGCGCGCCAGTTCAAATCGTCAAGATATTGTTATAAACCTGTTTTTTTTTTGTTTATATACCGTCATTGAATTATCGCTAAGCAAGTTACTGTGGAGCAGTGCGTAAGGAGTCGGGCTAGGAAGCGAGAGACCGGAGTTCGAATCTCGGCCGGGACATAACTTTTTATTTTTTAAATACTGTTGTATTCAATAGTTTATTTTTGTAGTTTAAAAAAAGAACTATTTATTCTGTTATTTTTTAATCTCCGGTATTAATATAAATTGATTGTTGGTTCAACACCTCATCTAATATAAAATAATATTCTACTTTTTGAAATGTATCGGGCACTAATTGTACCTAAAAGTAATATATTTTTAGTGATATACCATATTGTAAACTATTTAATATTTCAGTCACTTAAAAAGCTAATTTGCATTGAATAATTGTCTACCATTAAAGGAAATTTGAGCTATAATATAATCCTCGATGGGCATATTCTGGGTATGCAAATACTTCCTCTAAATTTTGGGTGTCGTTCAACCAATTTATTCTCAAAACCTGAAACATCTACATATAAAAAGAAGCACAGGTCACTAATTACAATAAACTTCACCCTTGGAATTACTTCTATCATAATTACAATACGTTCATCTGCATTGGCATTTTCTACTTTTCGATGGGAAACAATAAACTTCCCAACATTTTTTAAATGATGTAATAATTCCTCTTGTGGTTACTTTTCCATAGATAACCTCATCTCTGTCCTCATGTGAATTCAGAGGCAATGAACATGAAAATTTTTACCATAAACATCGCAAACTAAAAACCTAATAAACAATTTTATACCGAATATAGAAATAAATTTAGTATTCTTACCTATTATTATCGTCCAAATCCATGTTAATAGAAATTATTTTAATTATATTTTTGGAACTGCTGGTTTTAGTAATTATTAAATTAAACGAACTAAAAAGTCTTAAAAATAAACAATTCTTAACCATAACCCCAAAAAATGCAGATCTCCTGTTAACTTTCTTTATTTTTTATTTATTCATTATTTTCCTAGTGACGTCACAGGTGGTATGCGCGAACTGAACGAAATTGGAGCCGCTATCGATCATACCTTGTATTCTTTGTACCATGTCGGTTATCCGACTATACGATGATACGATATTAATTTTTTTGTTTGAATTTAAAGACTTCGATTGGTTAGAAAATTACGCAGTTTTTAAATTTATTGCATTTTCATGCCTCCGTTCATCGGATATACGATTTGCTTGTGGTTGGTGTCATTTTATATTTTCATTTCCATAACGAGATTTCGCTGTTTTACTTATAGTCTAAGAGCTAGCAATGTTTTCGAGAGAGAATTTTAATAAAGCTGATTCTCTCATATACTTTTGCTATGTTCTCCTAAACAGAGTGCGGACCGTCTGGCTGCCGGTAGACGTTGCGTTCACTACTGCGCATCATATCTGTTTTCAACTTCTTTTCACTACTGCGCATCACAAATTTGCCCTGTATTTAAGGAACTAAAGAGGCTAGAACAAACATATGTGTAGCATATTTAGTTTCATAAAAAATAGCAAAGTAATGTGAAAATCGCATCATTGTATCTCTACTTATAAACGAGAAATCCCATAAACCAAACGAAAATGGAATACCCGGTACAGATGATGCGCAGTAGTGAGCCGAGTAGTCTACCGGCAGCGAGACGGCCCGCACTTTAGCTAGGATAGTACAGGAGAGCAAAATATATATTAAAGAACTAGCTTTTTTAAAATTATCGTTTTTCCGACGTTGCTAGCTCTTGTACTATTATACAGGGCCCGGCAATAGTGCGTCGGGCATCTGTAGCTCCTAGAATAAAATAATTGTGAATTTTGTTTAAGTGAAAACCTAAAGTATGTACCAGGATGTATTTCAGGAAAATATTTTAACTTTTATAGGGTGGCTCAAAAAAGTGTGAGTGGATCTGGATGATTTTTTTCAAATGCAACACCCTGTATATTATTGCATTTTTAGGTTCCTTTTAGATCACTTTACATAATATTAAGATATGAGTAAATATTTATCGATAGTTTCAGAGATATTAATAAATAAATGAAAAATATATATTTTTCAACCCTTCTTAAAAATGATTATTAAAAATTCAAGTACTGTTTGAAATCAAAATTATATTAG